AATGTCTCTTTATCATGAAAAACAACTGACTAAATCATTGGTACAAAATGCAAAATTATGGAAGTTAATAACGTTAAAACTGCCTGATTTATATTTCAAGGCTATTTATAATGTTTTGGAAAATAGATTTCTTTGGGTATAGTGCTCACTTGTCATAATCAAGAATGGTATTGAGCCGATGAGCCACAGTCAGCACTGTGTGTCCACAGAACTCCCGACGAATTGTTTCCTGGATCAAAGCATCTGTCACCAGGTCAACGGAAGCGGTGGCTTCGTCAAGAACAATAATCTGAGTCCGCCGGAGCAGAGCTCGAGCAAGACATACCAGCTGGCGCTGGCCAATGCTATAGGCGGTTATGTGCATATAATTAAATGAATGAGTGAACATATATGAATGAGCAAGCTCGTTTGTTTATGCAAAAACGCATGAGTAAGTATGTGCGGAAGAGTAAACCGGTTTGGTTTTGAATATGTATTAGGTATAAGATTCCATATATTAGTAAATAATAAGAATATTAATTAATAAATAAAGTATAACAAAGAAATTCTATCAAAGTAAAATGAAAGAGTTCAATAGAGTGGTAGAAACTCAGCCCCTTTCTTACTCACTAAACCAGTTTATACCCGTTATGCGAAGCCGAATATATCCACTACTCTGCACTTTTACTTGCCTCTTTCGACTGTCCTCTAACCTCCATAAGTGACCTATTTGTACATTCAATTGAGACAAAATGAACTAGTTCACATAGCAGGACATTTATCAGCAATCTTCCCCTATCACATAAAGACGTTTAACGAATCGCAAAACGCTGCTAATATGTACATCCCTTCTTCGCGCCTCATAGATGCATCATAGCAAGGTTAGTTGGACCTCTACGCACAAAAATAAATCCATAATTACATGGTTATACTTAATAAACGCCAACAGAAGGACTTTGTCCGGAGCGACTATGTAGCCCTGTACACCTAAATCAATACAGATTGCCAAAAATTGCTTTTTCCTGACATTCGAACCCTCGTCCCTCACACCTTAGCCTAGGAGTTCAGGCCAAAACATGCTTGGTTAAGTATAATGATATCTTCGGGACACCGATAAAAATTCAAAATAATCTCTCTGGCTAAAACGAGAAAGAAACTAAATATGACTGTAGCCAATTAGAGAAAAGGAAGCGCCTTTTTGACAGGTTGAAAAATCGAGGCTGTAGGAAAAAAGTCATTTTTCTAACTTATGTTAACTAGCTAAAAGGTCAAAACCTGAAGCATAAGAGATTTCAATAAATTTAATCTGAAACCAGGTTTAAATAAATAAATAAAATAGTTAACAAATCTTCGAGAATGAAACAAGTATCAGATACGGTATACCTGAGATTTCCACCACCCTCAAAGATGGGCATTTGGAGACCAAGTTGATTGCCATTTTCCTTAATGAACGATTTGAGGTTTGCCATCTCGAGAACCTTCCACAATTCTTCATCGGAATGCATGCTAAAGGGATCCATATTGAAACGAAGCGTACCAGAAAAAAGTACTGGATCCTGTTTGAGAAAAAAATTAATAGTCAGTGAATGATGTATGATACATTTTAGAAGTACAGTTTTGAAGGCTAGCTTAGAATACATTTAAAGTGGATGTAAAAACAGCCACTTTCTTCACCCAACTTCCACTAGCCTTAACTAGGTAATTTGGTAATATATAGTGGAGCGCTAGGAACTAGGACACAAGGGAGGAGAGATGCCACAGTGGTTGAAGATAAAATTGGTCATAGTTATTGCTTTCTTTTGTTACCTTAACGAAATGTAACTCGGCCTTATGTGCGACGTCAAGCCCTGATGATTCCGACTACATTGACTACGAAACGCCAGAAATTGTACCAAATCAGCGATCCAATATTGGGGACAAGGGACTGAGCATGTTCTACTAAGTTTCCGTCATCCAGACAAACTCGAGAAAATAAGGGCAAATCGAGACAGTTTGATGTGGTTTTGTATACTGACTCGGTTCAACGTTGAACCACGTTTGTGGGTTGGCACACAAGAGACTAGGGTATGAGAAGCCATAGGCTTGGTATTAGAGATAGAGACA